TTTTATTTTATTATTTTATTTTATTAATATTATATCATATTATGTCATATATTTTTATATATATTTATATCAAAAACGCATTTATTAAATGCGTTTTTATACAAAAATAAATGAATCTGAAATACTTTTTTTGATACAGTACATTTCAACCATTATGCGTACGTGCGTAATATGCTCCAATCGCATCACCTTCTGAGATAAGGCAAATTGCTGAATTCACATTGGATCTGTGCATTGTATGACGTTCTGCAACCAATTAAAAAGCAGAATTGATATGAAGCAGAATCCTGTTTTTTTGATTGATTGCAGAGCATCATATGACGCATATCGGATCCAGTATGAATCCAGCAAATGGAGCGTGCTCTTAATTAATCCATGATGTATGTTCTAACGCGATGCAAACATCTAGTCGCCATATTGGTTCCGGTAACGCAAATGTATTGGAGCGTGTTGGGTATGTTGGAGCATGCAACGCGAATAAATCTATCCATAACGCATAAAGCATAAGACATAAGAAAATCAACTAATCAGAGTCCTTTCATAGAGAGAAAGGAAATAAAGACTTTGATAGGTTTATTTCTTCATGCATTATGTGTTGTGCATTATGTAAGAATCTGTGCTTCCCGTTACAAGGTAAATTTTCACGAGCTGCTCTAATCGGCTATTTCAGCGACAAAAAAGATTACGTGATCAAAATGAATACTTGATATTCGTCAATTATCTATATGCATCAGTACAATTATAGAAGTCGTGTGCCTCTTTGCAGAGGGGGAGTCGAAATCTATGTAGAACAGAGAATTTATTTTTTAAATACTGATTCTTTATATTTGTAGATCAGAGTATTTGTGTGGAATAAAGAATTTCATGCTTTATACAACGAGAAGTACCTAAAACGCATGCGTACGTGGCCATAGAACATGAAAATGTGCCCGCAGCTGTTTTCCAGATTTCCTAATGTAAATAATCAACTTTTAGAGTCTTCCTAGCAACAGTGGTATGGTGCAGTGCGGACATGTCTATTCATACCTGTAGATTCGCATTTCCTCGAAAAAATTTTTTCGTCTGAGTGAGTTTAGCTCACATTTCTGTGAGTAGACATTTTTATTCAGTGCAGCATGGCCTCGTCTTCTGGTGAGAAGGGCGGAGACGGAACCACACTAATTCCTTTGTTCTTAATCCCCGATTTTCACGCTTAACTCTTCTTTCTTCTTCCCTAAAAGCAAATGGGACGATTGCTTCCGAAAGCAAGGCACGATCACAGGAAGTATCGTAATCTCTTCAGCGAGATGGGCATCAAAATGCCGAACTCGACGAGCGATGCAGCAAGTGCCATTGCATCAGAAAATAACGATAGAGACTATTTTCGTGGAAGTGAGTGCTTGAAGCGATTTCAGAATCCCAGGGGAATTCTCATCCTTTTCTGATGGATATCGAAGAAAAAGCCGAGAATCAGGAAGTCATAAGCAAAAAGCGTTCCATTCGGAATGGGTGATAACCTCAACGAACAAGGAATTTCTGCCAAAAAAGGTACAGGTGCGCCTATAGGCTCGCCCTCTGAGGGCAGTAACAAGAAACAGAGATGCGGTGATAAAGACGTGAGTACGCCAAGTGCCGTAATTACATTCAACAGTTTGAATAGCAATGGGCCACCACCCCGCTATGGTACATGCAGGCCCGTATGCAGTTTATGTATATTCTAGCGACTGCGACAGCATTATTCACTCCACATAGTATAATAGGTCGGATATACCAGATATTAACGAGATTAAAAAAGTCGGTAAGGGGAAAGTTTTTATTGAGGCCAAGACTGTTAGCGCAACTAATAAACTTGTCGAAAATCCGGTTTTTCACAGACATAACCTGCGAGGTCTTATCTCATAAAGTTCTCAAAACGCGCGTTATTCAAGATGTTCCGCAACAGATAGATAACATGAAAACATATGAATCGTCAAGAAATTATCGATATCCAAAGACTCAATCGTAGAATGGAAAAAGATAACAAAATCGAATTTTTGTCTTTAAGAACTATTCGCCATCCATAAAATTTTTAAGTCAAATCTTCCTATCTGATGTGTTTCTTTTCAAGGTTTCAGGCACGAGGTCCATCTATTTGTACCTAAGCCAAGAATCTGCTTTGCTTGTTTCCACTTTGGGCATATCAGCAAGGTGTGCAAGAGTAAACCTAGAAGTTTGTATTGCGGAAAAAGTAAGCACAGCGAGGCAATTGGTTCGTGTCAATGAGGAACCTGTCAAGTGTATTATTGTCAAGGAAATCACCTTGCCATCTTCAAGGAGTATCTTATCATCCATAGGCAGAATGCTATTGTTAGCATGGTCACCATTGAGAATATCCCAATCGCGAATGCCAGAAGAATCTTTAATGGTAACTCTTTGGGCTCTAGCTCATCTCCTAATTCGGACATGCGCAACTTTCCCCATTTTTGCAGAAGGATGAAGTCTAAGGATTTCCAATACTAAGAAAACTCTAATAGATATAGCTTTTTAGGTGAGGAGACAGGTCATGGTGATCGCTCTTACGCCAGTGCGGTTAAATCTCGTCCAATACCTTCGTCAGCTTGTGTCTAATCGAATGATTTTCTGAGTCATCAATACGATCGCCGCGCTTCTTGCTCGGAGGGCCCGAAATCACTTCGTGAGAGGCGGGAGATTTATGAAGGAGGCGCTCATTGAGATGCCCTATGAGCTCGGTAGAAGTGCATTCCCTTCAGGTAACGGAGTGGCGTTTTGAGGAAGTCCGTCTTCGCAGCAAAGTTTTCAAGGTAGGCAAAGATAATGGTCTTTCAGATTTGGTTTGCCTAATTTCCGATTTGTTCATCCATTTTCAAAAAAAATGATTTAGCTAGCACGCTTGGTTATTATCAATTTCGCAAAAGCTTGAGCAATTTGTTTCGAGCTCCAGATCTCCCTAACAGGAAGGAGGAGGGGGGGCTTCAACGAGTGTCTCCTTGGAATGATTATCATTACTTCCGTAATCAACATTTATCTAGGGATAATCCAGATGATTTTAGTTGCATACGATTTTCGGAATTAATTTGTCAAATGATCTGGATTTGGGTTCTTCCCCGCGGGGAACTGCTGGGGGGAGGGAGGCTTGTGGGTCGTCTGTCCTCGACCTGTTTTCCGGACCAGGGAGTATCCTGTCTGAGAAGTCAGTGGGGGGCTCCTCTGCTGGCACCTGCGGAATCTGTCAGAGATATAGAACGGATCAAAGTGATTGGTAATCTTCCTTCAAGCGATAGCTAGGGAGTATGAGATCCTTTCCATGCAAAAAAACATTAATAAAGGAAGATAACAGCTTTCAAAGATTTCAAAGTTTACAGAAAGGATATAACACATCCTGGAGATAGAGGAATATGTATGCTCATTATTATTCATTAATATTCGCGAAGACATAGTTCACGAAATAATAGAAATGAAAGGCATTGACCTCACAGTAGAATACTTAGCAATTAAAATTCTTTCTCTGAGGGCCTAATTATTGTAATAAACTTCTACATCCGGGTTTAAACACCCCGGCCTCCTTCTATCGAAATCTGCTGGGAAACTTAAATAATCAGGAATATATTCTTCAGGAATATTATAGGGGAGATTTAATGCTCATTATACAGCCGAGGTTACAGACACCAAACAAGTTTAGGAAGAAGTCTCTTGAAAGTCATAAAAGAATTAGACTTGGTAGTCTTCAACAGGGACATTCCTACTTTGATACATTCCTCGCTACTAGCCAACTCGGTCATAGATCTTTGTGTACGCCTAGCATCACTATGTGAGAGATTCGTTGAAAGGGACCCCATGAGATTACTTTCTCATGGTCATCATGGTCGGTGTCCAGGCTAAACTTAAACAAAAATTATGCTATAAAATTTCTCTGAAGTGTGAAGACTATAAAAATATTTCACATTTGTTTACAGTGTGCAATCTGATAATCAACCTGATAATCTGAAGAATGAGGAGTTGGATGTGCTTTCACACACACACACTATTTTTGAGGTTATTAGAAGTTCCGACGAATAAGAAACCGTTGAACAGTAGAGTATCGCTGAATAGAATAGAGGCACCGCCGTAGTGGAATGGGAAATGCACTGAGACAGGAAAAGTATAGGAAAAGGAAAAGAAACAGGCTATTAGAAATTTGCTCTTGGGTACAGGAAAAAAAACAGGCTATTAGAAATCTGCTCTCCCAGCCCAATAGGAACAACTTGTGAACTTTTAAAAAATTAAAACTTCATGTGCGAAACGTTTATGTTTATCTGATTGTAAGGGAATGGTGCAATCTGATTAACAGTTTTAGTTGTTGCATCCTCATGGCTCAGATCTGAGTCCTTATTAAGAACTTTAGAAAACACCGATAGGGGAAATACTTTTCACAAGAAATCACGCAAGCTTCGCTTGAAGCAAGTCATTGTGAAGCTGTGTCCTCCTTACTGTCGTATAGATTCGGTTAAATCAGTAGAAACAATGATGCAAGGGAATCGGAGAAATCCTTACATCTATGCCTGACTAGGCAATCTCCTATCCTTCAAGGAACTGCTGGGTGCTCTCCGCTCAGTTAAGAAATGATCAGCTTCAGAATCAAATAGACTATTCGATGATTGATAACTTTTCTAGAGAATATTTGATTATTTACTCTAAATATATAACGAAGGGAAGTTCGAGAAGAGTCTTTCCAATATCCTGAAAGTACTCCTTAGTTGTTTTGATTCTCAAACCTGGCGACAAGGCGATAAGGCCTATTTCTCTAATGTTATGTTTATGCAACGTACGTTTTACTTTAGGTTCTACTGAGATGGTTTATCGAATTCCGGCCCATTCTTCCTCAAACGCAGTTCGGCTTTAAGCCGTTTAGATCACGTGCTGCGCTTACCATTGTGATCAGGACCGGCTTTCTGAATCACTCCCCCACAATTGCAGTTTTTCTTGATAGCGGAGGCATTTGACCCCAGCATTCTGATAGACGACTTGCTCGAGATAGGTGTGCCTGTCAGGAAATTCATTGAAAATCTAATCTGCATCATTTCAACTTCGTTATTGGATAATTACTTGGCTCTTACAATGCTTTTAAGGGGACTCCACAGAGTCTACACTTATGATTTCTGGACGCGGAAACGCTTGCCGCGCGGTAAAATGTGATGCGATAGTCAATAAGCTTACAGCTTCTAAAGTGTCTCATTTTGCCACGCGGTAAGCGTTTCCGCATCCAGTGTGCAAGAGCCATTGGCTCCTTATTTTTTGACATTTATCTTAAAGCGCTCGATCTTTATTCGGGCATACGCTTGTTACAATATGCAGACGATGTCATACTGCAGTGTTCGCAAAAATTTGCATTTCGGGCCATTACTCGAGACTCGGCGACTGAATCGCCGGGCGTTCACGTGACGCTCTGGTTCAGGAACGTCTCTGTAGCTTAACATGCGGAGGTACTTTACGTTATTAAAGAATATTTTTCTTGCAAAATAATTTTTATTTTCTTAAAAAAATCAAATACTAAATTTTGTCATAATAATTCTTGCCTATCAGAAACTATTCAATAATTGTTACTCAAGATAACCTCCGAATTAAACATAGATAATGTTGCGATCTCCAGGGTCCATTCGCATCGTTTCCTGGGTGTCATTCTGGACAGCAAGCTTAGTAGCAAACAACATCTGAAAATACTTAATCAATAAGGACAGAAAGATCATCAACATTGTCACGGTCCTATCAAGTGAGACTCGTACTTAACGCTTCTTTTCATCGTCTATAAGTTTGTATTTAGGAGCTCAGTGGAATATGGATACCAATTCTTTTCATGAAATACCAATGTAACCGACTTTATCTGCAACTTTAGTTTGCAACGCTTGCAGTATAAGGTGATTAGAAGGGTGATTGGATATCGTGTTTTGACTTCTATCAATGTAATGCTGAGCGAGGTCAAGGAATTCAAACTAAACATCAGATTTGACTTAACCGTATCTAAATTCATTTACAAATCCATGGCTAGCAAATTCAATCCCGCTTATGCAGTACTAAAGGAATTGAAAATTGCCGCAGTTCGCAGGAACTGTAAGGCTCATCAAGAGCTTTCGGCTATTCAAACATTATATAATCAGCCGACAGGAAAAAAGAATGACTTATCGCTCTATATATCCGCCATCTTTCTGAGGTATCTCTTATGAGATATTCTTCATGGAAATTACATATATTAAGGACATACTTGAGTGTGAAATGAAAAACAATAACAGCATAATTCTAGCGGACTTTTATTATAAATCGTTTAAATACAGACAAAATGCTATCTCTTTTTATATACGATTCTAAGAGTCCTAAAGGAATAGTTGGGCAGGGATCTTCTTTCCCCAAATAGAAGGCGATATTAAGCATAAGCTCCCTCTGGAGACATCGATCTTCTCGACCGACTTATGGATTATATATATATCAGGCTCTTTTGGCGGAGGACAGTAACGATACGTCATTTTTTTCAAAAACGTACTGGAAATTCTAAAAAATTCTGAAAACAATCAGCGTAATTATATTATTTACTTTATCAAGCAAATCTTCACGTACATTGTTAATAAAGACATTGAAATCATCCTGTTCTGGGTCCCAGCTCACTCAGGCATTCTGGGTAATAGAGGCTGCGAATAGCGTAGCCAAACAAGCAGCGATGGAAGGATTCATCTCAGAATTTCGCGTTCCATATGAAGACCTATTTACGAATTCCAGAAATCGAGCCCTCAATTTGAGAATTACATGAAGATTATCTCCTTTTTCAAAAGCACAATGTATTTTAAACGGTTCCATATGACCTCCAAAAAAATGATTCGAAAAATCTTCCATGAGCAAAGAAGAAATAGAATAGAAGAAATCCTAATAAGCCGTCTTAGATAAAATCATTACAACCTCAATGAAAATCTTCACAGAATTAACATTGTGAGTTCATTCGCCTATCTCTGCGGGGAGCCACGACAGGACATAAATCATGTAATATTTCAGTGCGATAAGTACAATTTAAATTCGAGTCCACTCCACTTTCATTGCTAGCAAATTTCCAAATTCCCCATAAGATATTTCTCTCGCTCTTTTCTTTCCTACTCCTAAGTTTTGTCATCTGCTCCTGGTCTTTATGAAGGCTAAACGATTTTTTTTTTTTAATTTGCCTTTTCCTCTCCCCTATAGCGCGCGACCACCACTGGCAGCAGACATTCGATTTGAGGGAGAGAGGAGAGGGATGGTAATAAACAAAGCAATTGGAACAGGCACTACGCAGACATTAAATTATCAGATCACCTCAATGGCTCAGTATAAGCCAGTTTGTCTGCGGGGTCAATAAAAGAAGAAGAAGAAGAAGAAGAAGAAGTCGTCAACTTTAACGCTTAATATCTTAGTTCGCGAGGCAGAGCGACACTTTTTTCGGTAATTATACTGAAGGTGCCGCAGCTTAAAAATCAATAAAATTAGTCTTATTCGACGCGTTTTTGCATCAAACGAACAAATCTGACAGAAAAAAATGTCGCTCTCCCTAAAGTTAGGAAATCTGTCATACAGATTATATGTATCGCTATGAGCATGACATGGGATATATAGACTAGTGCTTATTGGTTCGAGATTACATCACATTTTGAACAAAAAAAAATAAATATATCCTACCAGCTTGAGGTTTAATCATTTAAAACTTGCAGCGTAGACAATGTCCTCTTGGAATATTTCTAAGACAGTGAAAAGATAGACTCTAAAAAGACTATTCTCACACTTCACTGTCTTCATAAGTTAGAAATATTCCAAGTGGACACTCTACGCTGCAACCTCTAGGCAATATCTCGGGGCAGAGAGATTTTCACTATTTTCTGTCAGATTGTTTTGTTCATACAAAAACGCATCGAATAAGCCTAATTTTATTTATTTTTAAGCAGTGACACCTTCTGTATAATTTTTCTATCAGATTCGTTCATTTTGTACAAAAACGCATCGATTGAGTATGTTTTTATCAAAATTTGACACTGGGGTCTTCTTAACATTTACTTTATTTACATCTTTTACGCCAGAAATTTAACATTAGAAATTAATATTATATGTAATGAAATAATAACATATATAATAAAATTATATATCATATGATAATATTCTTCCACGCGCACTATTTTCTATATAAAAATTTACTTAGTAAGTACCAGGCTATTCTTCGCCCTGATGAAGTGAACTGCAAAGTTCACGAAACGTTGGCATTTTAAGAATAGATCTGGATATGGAGAAAATCCGCGAAACGCATAATCTTTATACATCATTTAATAATTTTTTATACAAAATGTAACTGTTCAGGATTCTGAATACAAAATAGCATTTTTATTTTCACGACATTTTTGTTAATAATAAGTTGAGATAATTGTTAATAATATGTCACGAATGCGATATGTTAGTACACATATGTCTCCAATGCAATGGAGAGATAGAGTACGCGGTTTTATCTCGATGGACGAGAATTCTCGGTGGAGGCAGAGAAAATTATCCCTGGCTAAGCCATATATCCAGAAGGAAGGTGTCGAAAACAGCTCGATGGAGTATGATCTATCCCTTGGTTTGTAGCTAGTGTGAAGATTTTATGGTAACTGAGCGGCCGAGAATGCTCGACAGTAGCGGAGTATTCTCCATCACCTTTCGCAGTACTGGATCGACACTAGGAGTCGAATCGATTAAAAGCAAAATTGAGACAAAAACGGACAGAACCTTAATACTTTTCTCATGTTTATATATGAATTGTTGTTACCGCTCGTATTGTTACAAGGCAATTCTTGTGATGAATAATATGAGCAAGAGAGATATCGATTTGGTGATAATCGGTTTCATTAATACTCGGCCGAACGGCTGTCATCTGCGACATCGCGCCTTCGACAGTTATCGTGGCGGTGTCCGGCTGATACCTTTATGCGGAACGATACCCATCCAGAGTGTATTACAATTATTATATAATATATGTATAATTTTATTATACAGAGTGGTTCAGAACAACCCAGGTGTCCCTGAAGAGACGTATTCTTGACTGAATTCTAAGACGATTTTTCCTTTACGAAAATTTTGTTAGAAGCTTAATTTTCAAATTACACGAAGAAATAGTTAGCGCATCGGATTGCATAGGAGACAGGCAGGAGCGGCGCACGAGGCACACATTGAATGTATTCACACATTTATAAAAACACGTTCCTTCTTTTCCCTCTTTTTACTTTTTCCCTCTATTACACTATTTCTTTATGTTTTACATGCTTTAAATATGCTAATTTCATTAAATTATAAAATAGAATGAAATTAAAATAAATATTGAATTCTTTAAGTATCAGATTGTATTTTCATTACATTGATAAAATGTAAAAGAGCGAAATTGGACTATTGTCCAATTTCGCTCTTTACATGCGATAAGCTTTATAAAACTATTATTGACATACAAATCATACAATTATTTCAGTACGTCAAATTCTAAGAGCGTTTCTTACAATTTGACGTATTGAAATATAATAAATACTTGTTAGACTTAATTAATTTAATTTAATTTAATTTAATTTAATTTAATTTAATTTAATTTAGTTTATTGCAAAGCTATAACAAAATTATTGTTAACAGAGTAAACATAAAGTATGATACAAGTTCCTAGGGCTCAGGTTCCAAGGCTCCTGATTATTCAGCCAAGAACTTTGCGTTGACGACACAGAATCAGATGACAATCTGGCGAAACCGGTAGCCACTTAAGCATGAGCCTATGTCCATGTGCTCGTCTGCGGCGCGCCGAGAGTGAATGAAACAGCGAGCTCGTTCTCACACTAGTCACATGTTTAAGCGACCAAAAATGCTTTCTCGGAAATCTCGGCTACTCGGCGCGACCTTAAGCAATAAGGGCCGAGGGGCATTCTAAATAACATATAAGTTTTAATAAATTGTAATAATAGTGTAAGCTTCCCATTAATCCAGAATAATCTAAATCATGTTAAAATGCAATAGTTTACGAGATATTTAATTGTATACGATTTTTCATTTTTCATAAACTCGAGTAGCAAGAATATTCAAATATTTCAAGAAGTAGAATTTTCGTCGGAAAAAAATCGGGAAAAAATTATAAATTATTTCTTTTCATAAAAATCTCGAAAGGTCATCAGAAAAAAATATGTTTGAGATTCAAGATTTGTGAAGAAAATATGCGAAAAAAATCAAATAGTTGCAAAAAGCACATTTTTCGCTTATAAAACGAAAGATATTGATTGTATGGAAAAAAATTCTGTATAAAAAAGGTATTCGAAATACTTACAAAATGAGACGTGGAACATTAAAATCGATTTATTAGTTAAGTAAAAAAAAAAAATAAAAAAAACACCGAAAAAGGCCTTTTTTTCACTCGCTCACTGTTCATTGAAATTTAAACGCAAAGCTTTGAAATTCTCATAAAATGTAGCTCTCGTAATGACAAATAAATCTAGCTCTGAACAAGCCTGAAATGTTCATTAGTTTTTGCAAAAAGCATTTGTTCACTAAAAACCTGTATGTAAACTTAATTCTTTCATCTTTGAGCAGTCGCACAGCAATTTATAGGGGTGATTTTTCTTCTTCAAGAAAACTATCACGTACACTTAATAACAAAATGAATTTCTGCAGTTAAACTATTATAAAATGACTTTAAAGAGTGGGTATCTTTTTCCGTATAAAAAAATGAAATAATTTCGTTAATATACATCATATCAAATAGCCGTGTGAAGTATTCGAAATCTGACATTTTTCTACGAATATAAAAAAAAAGATTACTCTCCGATTATTAGGAGTCGAGGTAACAATTTTTTTTCAAAAAAATCATTGACTCTAATTTTTAAGATTAAGAGTTCCGTTTGGCACCGATTTGTCAAAGAAGAATTGAAATTGCTATTAAAAAAAACTCGAACTGTAACTCTGAAATCTTTATTTAAACAAATTTTTTGTTTCTTGAATTTTTATTTTTTCGGTTTATCACTAAAAAAATCACGTTTGAGTATGGAATGCATGTCTGATTAACAAGTCACATTAACTATATTTCTTTATTTAATATGCTTTATTTAATATGTAAAAAGTGTCCAATTGGATAATTAAATATATGAAATTATCAGAATAAAATTGTTTTTGTGAATTTAATTGCAGATGCAAATAATTAGACACATATAAACAAATAATTAGTAAGTAATTTGCCAAATGTTAGCGTAACTGTTAAAGATATAACTCTAACTTTCGCAAATATAAAAGTAAATTAGTGTTGAAAAATATATTTTGCAACTATATTCAACAGTTACACTAACATTTGGCAAATTATTTATTTGTTTACATATGTCATATTTATATCTGCAATTAAATTCACAAAAATAATTTTGTAATTCCGTACATTTAATTATCCAATTGGACACTTTTTACAGCATATTAAATAAAGAAACATAGCTAATGACTTAAATTTGTTAATCAGACATGCATTCTATACAAACGTGATTTTTTAATAATAAACCAAAAAAATAAAAATTCAAGAAACAAAAAACTAAAAATTGGTTACAATTATTTTGCGAAACATTTGATTAAGCTATTTGTTTATTCTTATCGAATTATTTGTTCTTATCGATCTACTCCAGATTTAAAAAATCAGATTTTCGTGTCAATTTATTGTTGAGAAAATGTAAATTTAACAAATTTTAACACACGAAATCAAATACGCGAATCGCCGAGCAGCCCGATCTTCTCCATTCGACTGCGCGTTTCCCTCACTCCCAGCGCACTGCCTCCTTCGCATTCTTCAACTTTCCAATAATTTAAAACAAACTTTTTCGAGCAACTTTTTTTAACAAAAAATTCGAGAATTTTTCAACAACAAATTCAATTCTTCCTTGACAAATTAGTGCCAGACGGAACTCTTAATCTTAAAAATTAGAGCCACAGTAATTTTTTTGAAAAAATATTGTTATCTCGACTTCTAATAATCGGAAGGTAATCTTTTTTTTAAATTCGTAGAAAAATGTTAGATTTTGAATGAACACACAGCTATTTAATATGATGCATATTAATGAAATTATTTTCATTTTTTTTATACGAAAAAAGATACCCATTTTTTAAAGTCGTTTTATAATAGTTTAACTGTAAAAAATCATTTTGTTATTAAGTATACGAGGTAGTACAACTCTTGAAGAAGAAACCCCTGTAAATTGCTGTGCGACTGTTCAAAGATGAAGAAATTAAGTTTTCTGCAGACAACTTTTTGGTGAACAAATTCTTTTTGCAAAAATGAATATTTCTTGTTCAGGGCTAGATTTGTTCGTCATTATGAGGGCTACATTTTACAAGAATTTCAAAGATTTGCATTTAAATCTCAATGAACAGAGAATGAGTAAAAAAAAAGCCTTTTTGGTGCTTTTTATTTTTTTTTCTATTGAATTAATAGATCGATTTTAATGTCTCATTTTGTAATTATTTCGAATATTTACATTTTTTATATCAATGTTTTTTTCATACAATCAATATT